AAGAAAAAGTTTACCTCAAGTATCTATCTCCACACAAATGTAGAACATTTATCTGATCTAAACTCACTTTTTACTAATAGAATACAAGGGGGCCAGGGTGTATTGAGACTTGAAAGAAGTGCCCTCAAGTCAGAAAAAAATTAATCAGGGAAAAAATTCTCATGCCTTTGCTATTTAAAAGTCCCAGTTTAACTAGCTACTTAATGTAAACCCTTACTTAGTCTTTGGCTTTCCTTGGCTATGAAGACAGTTTCATTCAGTGCATTTTTTAAAAGCAATGTTGTTTGTTTGCTTTTTCATGTTGTTGTTGTTCCCCAGTGTCCCCCTTCTTTTGCTACTGTTTCAATTCTTTCATCCACAAAAATAAGGAATGCCCATGCTCTTGCTTCTGAAAATAACATCTGGTATGTGCAAGTAACAAAAAAGCTTGAGAGAATGCCCCAGTTTTTATTTAAAACTCTTATATTTTAACTAGAATGCCGTTAGCAATGATTAGACAAAAAAAATCAGTTTTTACCTTATTAGGAGATTGCTATTTTCAACATTTACCTTAAACCACAAAGTGGATTTATCTTCTAACCAGTTTAGCTTCCTGTCTCTCCCCCAACTAGGTTAAACAGTAACTTTTTCAAGATTATGAGTTTTATTTTACTAAAACCCTATTTCCAAACCCCAAGTCTCTAGAAAGGCATACGAAATGTTGCCAGTTTTAAAATAAGGCCTAACATTTTTTCTAATTTTTTAAGGCTATTTTGATAAAAGTTGGTGTCCTTGAACGAGTACCTTTTCAAAGTGTGATCTTGAACCCCTGAGAGTTCAGGGTATCCAGAAAGTCAAACTATTTTCATGAATGATATTAAAGTATTACTTTAAGGGCCAGTTAGTTGTCAGTGGCTCACACCTGTGATAAGATCTGAGCATCACAGTTGAAGATGTCCTCAGAGACTAAATATAGAAGCAAGATAGAGAATCCAGCTTGAGATGAACAATAATTGTGAAATAATATAAAATAGGGGCTGGGAAGGTGGCTCAGTGGTAGAGCACTTGCCATGCATGCATGACGCCTTGGGTTCGATTCCTCAGCACCACATAAGCAGAAAAAGCTGGAAGTGACTCTGTGGCTCAAGTGGTAGAGTGCTAGCCTTGAGCAAAAGAGCTGAGGGACAGCGCCCAGGCCCAGAGTCCAGGCCCCATGACCAGGAAAAAAAAAAAGAAAGAAAGAAGGAAGGAAGGAAAGGAAGGAAGGAAGGAAAGAGAGAGAGAGAGAGAGAATAATGGCACTCTTCCCACTAAATTTTGATTTTGAAAAACATTTTATATCATCTCCATCATTTATATTATTAGAAAGCACTGGATCTATTGTTTCTTGTAAGTAAACTGATACTTATCTTTAAATTTCTTCAATTTTATTTTCTAATATGGTAATATTAGTAGATGTAAGCCACACAATGGATATAAGCCACAAACGCCTGGGTTCTCAGAAATATTAAGACCTGTAAAGGAGTTCTGAAACCAAAGTCTGATTATCCAATTACATAACCCAATACACAGTGCCTTCCATAGATAAGACGCTCTAGTTAAGTCTGCAATATAATTACTTCTTACCCCTTCCCCCCCTAATCTTGTTGAGTTCTATATCTCCTTGTAAAACATAATTCAGCATAAAGCCAGTCTGTTCTGGGCTCCATTTAATGGGCTTTAGATTTTTAATTATTCAGAGTCCTCTTTACAAAGATGTTCTGACCTGTAATACACACCTGTTACTTGGATAACATATAGCAGTTTCTCAACTGTCAGAGAAAATTGCCTTGTTTATACCCATAGCACCTGTATATGGAAAATCTCTCTCTCTCTCTTTCCCTCCCTCCCTCCATTTCCCCCTCTCTCTCTCCCAGATAGAGTGAAAGTGACACTTCAAGTTAATAGTCCTTGTCCAAGTAAGTTCTGCTCTCTAGCTGAGCCCTGATTTGGCCTTTCGCAACATTTTTGGCAGTGTCACTGGAGACAAAAGTGCAAACTCTCAAAAAAAAAGGGGGGGGCATTATTCTCATTGTCTCATTGTCCACAGGCCAAAACAAGGATTCTCTTCCTCCCTTAATAACAAAGTAATCCAACGTGGGCTGGGAATGTGGCTCAGTGGTAAAGTACTTGCCTAGCATGCATGAAGTCCCAGGTTCAATTCCTCAGTATCACATAAACAGAAAAAGCCAGAAGCGGCACTGTGACTCAAATGGTAAGCAAAAGAAAGAAAGAAACCCAACTCATCATCAGGCACAATATTATTGAGTGCTACAGTCATAGTCCCTATCAAAATATACATTTGAAAGGGCTGCGGGGGGGGGGGGAGGTAGGAAAAGCCACAATGCATGACTCTCTAGGATGATGAGCTAGTTAAGGACTCATAGATTTACTAATCATTTAATCACTGAAACAACAGCCAGGCAAGAACAAGATCAAGCTTAATATAAACACTAGATATACCAACCACAGGTTAAAATGGGAGGCCCACATGAAATAGGTTCAAACTCAAGAGTGTGGACTAAGGAAACCCCACACAAAGCTAGTTGCTGGTTGTAAAATTTAAGCAACTATTGGAGGCCAACTTCGTTTCAGGATACCCTTTGGACAACAATCACCACCTCCCTTAGGGCTAAACATTACTAGCTGACTCTTATCAGCACAAACCTCTCGTTTTAACTTAGTAAATTCCTCCTGATTTTTTTTTTTTTTTGGCCGGTCATGGGGCCTGAACTCTAGGCCTGGACACTGTCCCTCAGCTCTTCAGCTCAATGCCAGTGCTCTACCACTTAAGCCATAGTGCCACTTCCGTTTTGTTCTATTTTGTTTTTTGCTTATGTGGTGCTGAGGAATCAAACCCAGGGTGTCATGCATGCAAGGCAAGCGCTCTACCACTGAGCCACCTTCCCAGCCCATCCTCCTGATTTTCTGACCTCTGTTCCACCATCAAGTGAAAGTCCTGACAGACAAGATGAACACACAAGATATCTGCCATTGCATAATTATTGTCTTCTTTTAGATTCGTGTGCCCAGCGAAGCCATTTTTAAGCCTGATGTGATTTTACATCAAGAAGCAGGCTGAGTGTTGTTCACTCTGTATTCCTGTAGCTTAGTAAAGATGAGCAACAGTAACGACCATGCCTTGCTTTTCCTTGTGTTCATTTTGGTCATGTCCCCCCCCCCCAAAAAAAAGAAAAAACTTTCTTGGAAGAAATAATAAGCTACAATTGTAGCATTACAGCTATAGCAAACAACCAATTTATGACACAACTTGATTCACCTTATTTTTGTTTGAGGCTCAACATTCACGGTTGAAGATGTATTTAGGTAAAGAGTTCATGTACACCAGCTTCAGCAGCCTCACAAAAAGAACTGATCAGGCTTGGTGGATTCCAGTAATTCCAGTACTCAGGGAAGCTGAGACAGGAAGATCACAAACTTGAGGTCAACCAGTGTCACTCAAGTTTTCCAAGCCAGTCTGAGCCAGTTATACAAGGAGACCCTGACTCAAAAACAAGCCCACAGAATTTCAATACTGGCCCGTGAAATGAATTAACTGGTTAATGTTTAAAGGCTTGGAGGGAAAGGGGGGCGGGGGAGAGTAGGAGAAACGGAGCTGACTTTACAAAGGCAAGCAAAAGCCCCAACTTCTGAGAGCTCCAGGAAACGGCGATTATTATACTCCTTATCCTGGAGTAGATCTTCCTTTGTGGCTTTCTGTGTCTCTCCAATGGCACCATCGCCCTTTAAGAAATAACCTGTCAGAAGTGTTCCTGCGTTCCCTAAAAGTACCATCTTCCCAGCTCGACCCACAATGGGGGGAAAAAAAAAAGGTCACCCGGCTAAAGCAATAGCATTGCGGATTTTATTATTTAGAAACTGAATAAGATTTCCGAAGTGCACAATTCAAATTTGACACTATTTCCCCAGCACACACACACACACACACACCAGCTACCAGTGCTCAGTTTAAATTTTAATAAACAAAGGCTGCAGCGGCGGCACCAGGGCCCTACCAGGAAGTAACCGGAGCAGGGCGGCCGGTGCGAGCCCCAGTCGCCCGAGCAGACAATGAGGGGACCCCCCCCCCAGGCTTCCAGGGGGGGGGGGAGGGCACTGGGCTGGAGTTGAAACGCCTTAAGTTACTCCCACACCTGACATCAACCTCGGAACCGCGTCTGCGACACGACCCACTGGGCGATCCTCGTGAAATGTCCACCCTGCCCCACAGCGGGTCCTGAAATGATCTCAGCAAAAGATCAAACTCGAGCTCCAAAAGCAGCTGTTGGGCTCCGACCTCCGGGGCCCCGGGGTTCCCACTGCACCCGCCCCGGCTTCCGAGGGCCCTCCCGGGGGAGGGGGGAGGGCTCTGAGGGGGAAGGCAGGCGGGGAACCGCAAGCCGGGCCGAGGCCCGCGGCCGCCCCGGGGTC